TCACTGGCACCGGATGGGCTTCTGCATTTCCACTGACAACAGAGGCTGCGACAGGAAGCAGAGAATGTGCAACGCGGTTTCATCCTCCGCCAACGAGGAGGAGGAGGCCGGCTGGACCACTGAGAAAAGCCCTAAAGGCATCGAGGTTTTGGAGACAGAGCACAGCTCCAGAAACGTCTTGGCTCAGTATTTACACGGTATCTTTCCACTGCATTTTCCTTTTGAGACATTTGTGGTTCTGAGGTTGGCTTGGGGAAAGAGGAGACTTAAAAACAAAGACAAACCAATTCCCACATACGTAAAAGTCCTGCTGTAAGTCTTACTCAGTTATTTTCACACACATCATTAAAAGTAGATACTGACAATGATTGGTTTCTTTTCTTATTCTTTTTTTTTTTTAAGAGCATGAGAAGAGCAAGAAATGAGAGAGAGAGAAGAGAGAGAGAGAGAGAGGAGGGTGCACTAAGGAGAGCGCCGTCCCTTCTTTAGCATTAAGTGACACTGGATGGTCTGGATTCGGTTCTTGGCCGGAACGAACTCAGGCTGCAGCTTCAGCGTCGATTCATACCACACCAGTGCTTTCTCAAACTCCTCCTGTGAGGGGCAAAGGGACAGATGTGAGAGGGATACCACCACCTGGCTAAGTATGTACCGTGACTTCTTTTTCGAGAAGCACCTCTGTGCTAGGAGCAATCCTGCAGTGTTTTCTCAATGGATCTACATCTCTGAGGAAAACTCTAATGAGGTCTGGAAGGGAACACCACCCCCAAGGTACAATATCACAAAGAAAAGGAAGGCAGAGCCCAAGAGCCAGAGGGGAAGGGGAGATGGACTTTACAAAGGTCTGACCCAACAGTGGGAGTAATCCTGGAGGTAACAGTGAGGACCAACATTGCTGAGTACTCAGGCACTGTGCCGGGTGCTTTATGAAAACCCTCCATTTAATCCTCACAGAAACCTCTAGAACTGGGCCTGGCAAATGCTCCTTAGGCATCTCCCTGAATTTTCTACTATAGCTAGAAAGATGGAAGTTAAGTATCTCAAAGTCAGGTGCTGTAAATTTTGAAACAGTTTTTTGTTCTCCGTAGCATTTAAAAATATGAACATCACTTGGAAATGACTGCTGTCATATTGAAGGTGTTAATCTTTTACTTAGACCAATAGGCTCAAAGAGGAGTCCAAACCAAAGGGTTAAATGACTCCTTCTAGGCAAATGAGAGGCAGAATTCCTCATTCATAGTAGCAAATTTCACATTTACTGGGGACAAAAACAGATTCTTCGATTTTAAGAAGCAGAGAAGGAAATCTGCACATTCAGCAATGCCTACCTGGCCAAATTATACTCGCTGCCTTTCAAGTCAAGGATGACACATAAAACTTACAGCTTCAAGCTGCTCATTCTATTAACCTTTATTGAGAGGGCCTTGGGAATCGCCCCATGTGGGACACCAAGCTTTCAATGACAATGCATGGCACAATTCTCATGTTAGATTCAGCTATGACAGCTTCCAGGGGACCCATGGGATTTTAAGTTCTGACCCCGCCCTTGTTTCGGGCCAGAATGAGGGCTCTGGATGATGGCTTTGCCATTTTCTCTGAAAATGGTATCCTGTGAAACTAGTGGCGTGCCACCATTCATGAAACATGTGATGAGCACCTAGCATGTGCCACACGCTGTGACGTGCTAGGAACAGGAAGACGAAGAGGAATCTCTTCCCTAGGGAGTGCACTGTCTAGGGGGAGGGACAGATACTTAAAAGATTATAAAACAAGGCGAAAATATGGCGAGAGAGACATGTATAGATAGGCACCTAGCCCCCCCGGAAAGCACGAGAGCCCAGGTGCCTCTGTCCCCCTGGAGTGTCAGGTAAGGTCTTCTGGGACAGGTGAAGTCTCCAGAAAATTGTAGGTAAATCTGACTCTATTGTCAGTGCGACACTCACCGGGGGGAGCTACACAGTTGCAAATGCTTAGATGAATTTCATGTCCTACTTTTTTTTTTAATTCACAAACTCCTTAGCCATGAACTAGACCTCTGGTGGAGCTAGCAATCGGAGACACAAAACGCACGGGAAGCTGGAAGACACGGACACGGCAAGGGAGTTTGAAAGCAAAGGTGTGTCGGGCAGGGACAGCGGAGCAGCTGGCATGCCCTGCCCACCCCAGCGACCTCACCATCGCCACGTAGACGTTGCCCAGTGTAAAGTGGTTCACGGCGAAGTGTGGCGCGATCTCTACGGCCATGGTGGCCACTATGACGGCGTCGTTCCAGAGCTTGGCGTTGTGCAGGATGTTTGCCAGGCTGATCAGGGGCACGTCCTGGGAAAGGAAGGAGAATGGTGAGAAGGAAAGGATACTGATTTCTGAGTTTTCATTCCTGGTGGTTCCAATCCTTAATAATGCAGTAAGTTCTTCCTGGTAAGTGACTGAGTAATGCAGCTGAACCTGCTAGTCTTCTGTTTGCTACTGGTCTGTGACAGATGAGCAGGCTGCATGGGGACATAAACCAATGCATTACTTTTTTTATTAGGAAAGTCTGGCCTCAAAACACAAAGCACAAGAGTCAGCTGAGTAAACAATCTGCTTAGGGAAGTTGCTGGTGGACTGCGGGGGCAGGTTCCTGACTCACTGCCCAACGGTAAGAAACAGTTCATGGCCCGACACCTGTCCACAGACCACACTTGGGAGTCTTGCTGTCGGAGAGTCGAAGTGTCTTCTGCAAGGTCCACGGCATCATCTGCTCGAAGCAGGGGCCGGCAAACTCTGGCCTACAGGCCGGATCTAGCCTGCTGCCTCTATTTGTAAGGGTTTTTTGGGAATGTAACCATTCCTGTTCCTTTACGTATGTCTGTGGCTGTTTCAGGCCCACATGGCAGAACTGAGTGCCTCCAACAGAGGCTGTCTGGCCCACACAGCCTAAATTTCTTACTGCATGGCCCTTTACAGAAAACGTTTTCTGGCCCCTGACCTAGAGTATCCAATGGCCGGAAGTACAGAGCACAGAACGACAGGCTGAACAAGTAGCATCCCAAGCAAGTACCACCTGTCTCACACTGTGCAGGGTTCTACAGGAGATCCAGAAGACCTAGGGAAAAAGGACCCCCCTTTGTCCTTACTGGACACTCGCAGAATGAGGTCATTATATGAGGTCACAGAGCTTCATAACTTGCCTAAGGTCACAAAGCTCGCAAGAGGCAGAGCTCCAGACACCATTCCATACGCTGCCCTTACGAACCAAGGAGACATGAGCCATGTCTTCAGGAAGTCTGAGATGTGGAGGCGAACGCAGAACTCAGCACGTGTGGATACAACTGTGCTTTTAAAAAGCTGAACGTTCTCAGTCATCACAGCATTAACTGGCATTTTTGAAAAGACTGATGTGACGCTGAGTTAGCAGGGCTTTTTGTTTTTGTGGAAAAGGTGAAGTCAGAGACCAGGAACTGGCCGATATGTAAGAAGAGATGGAAACTGCTTCGGTTTCAGTGTCTGGAAACAAGCTTAGGTCAGCAGTATACATAAAACAAGTGTCACAGGCCTCCAGGCCCCTGGGGGTAAGCTAATCCCAGAAGGACTTGCGGGGTGATGGCCTGACTACGCCAGTGTATTTGTTGTATGCTGGGTGACTCTGCATACAGTGGAAGGGGCATTAAATGATGGAATCTTGGAAGACCTTCCCCCGTGTTCCCATTTTCAGAGGCAGGGAAGGCGTAAGTGGGGCTGAAGCTTCTTCCAACCTATGCTAGCCTTTTGCCACTTTCTTACTGGCTGAGCGTGAGAAAGCCTAGTTGAAACCTCATAACCAACAATGGAAAGGACCAAGAGCCAGAAATTCGCACCTCTGAGTCCCACTCACCTTCATCTGGTGTGGAGCATAGTGGAGGGCCTGGCGGAGGCAGTCGATGGCCTTCTTTCCTTGGCCTTTCACTCTCCAGTAGAGGGCTGCCATGCTGGAAAGGACCCAGGATGTCTGGTTCTACAAAGGAATGGTCAGTTGAAGCTGGTGTCTCTTAAATATATGTATTAGAGAGGTTAGTCCCTTGCCTGTGACATGAATTACAGATACATTCCCTCAGTTTTCTGATGTCTGCCTTTGGACCTATGGTTTTTTGTGTGATGTAGGTTTTGATTTCCACAGTGCAGCTGATTAATTTAGATGGCTTCTGGATTTTCAGTTGTAGCTGACAAGGTCTTGCTTACTTCAAGGTTATCACGAAATTTTACCACGCTTTTCCCCCAGAACTTTTATAGTTTCATTTTTCACATTTAAATATCTGACCCATTTGAAATTTAACTTGGTGTAAAAGATACGGCTTCAACTTAGATGGTTACTAAGTTGTCCCAATAAGATTTAACAAATAATTCATGTCTCTTCCCCCAGTGAGATGCTACCTTTACCATATACAAAATTTCAGCACTTAATTTAGGTCTAATTTTGGAGTTTCCTGTCTATTTCATTTGCCCCCTTTGATGGATGGTCTCTAACTCCCAGCCATTACAGATGAAGGCATCAGAAAACTTACCCTGCTTTCTGCTTTCTACCTTATTTCTTTCTTCCAATCTAATTTTTTGGGTAATTTTATTATTCTTCATTGTCAGGGCATGTAGTATTGATATTCTATCACCCTATTCCCCATATTTGTTTTCCTACTGGTTTTGTAGTTAAATATATTCATTGACCATGACATTACTTTTGTGTGGTTTCCCCAATCATCCCATGGTTGGCTGAGGTTCAGCCCAATACTGTTGGTGGGAACAATATTCTTGGAGATTGTTACGCACTGAATTGTGCTCCTCCAAGACACATATGTTGAAATCTCAGCCTCTCATACCTCAGAATGTAACTGTATTTGGAGATAAGGTCTTTAAGGAGGTAATTAAATTAAAATGAGGCCATCAGTGTGAGGGCTTAATCCAGTAAGACTGGGTTTATATGAAGGATTTACAGGAGAGGAAGAGATACGTCAGGGTCCTGTGTGCAGACGGATGACCCTGTGGAGAGGCAGCAAGAGGCCAGCCATCGGCAGCCAAGGAGGGAGGTCTCAGAGGAAACCCACCCTGTCGGCACCTGGATCTCAGACTTGTGGCCTCCAGAAATGTGAGAGAACAAACTTCTACCGTTTAAAGTACCCAGTCTGTGGTGCTTCGTTACGGTAGCCCTAGCAAACTAACAGACATGTTCAAAACTTTCTGTCTGCAGCCTTCATACCTGAAGGACCGCTGGCTCATTCTGTCTTTCCTTGAATAATGTGTTGGCATTGTTCCATTGCCTGATGGCTGCAAAGAAATCTGAGGCTGCCTGGCTTATTCCCCCTTCTTAGTGACTTGGTCCTTTTGACTGGTTTCTCAAAAGGATTCTTTTTTAAATCTCAAATTATCTTTAATGCCAATATTTCACACATACAAAGGAACATATTTATATAATTATATATACATATAACACGATTATATAAAAATATACACTTAGGCTGTAAAACATAAAGTAACGAATATCCCAGAAGCTGTCACCCTAGTGAAGAATGAACCTGCAGCAGCCACCTATGTGTCTAGCCTCTTGCCTTTTCTCCAGAGGCACACACCATCCTAAATGCTGTTTGTTATTCCATTGCTTTTTAATTTTTTTTATTTAAAGATTTTTATTTTTCATTTGAGACACAGATATATATATATATATATAGAGAGAGAGAGAGAGAGAGAGAGAGAGAATGAGCAGGGGGAGAGGCAGAGGGAGAGGGAGAAGCAGGCTCCATGCTGAGCCAGGAGCCTGACGTGGGGCTTGATCCCAGGATCCTGGGATCATGACCTGAGCTGAAGGCAGATGCTTAACCATCTGAGCCACCCAGGCGGCCCTCCATTGCTTTTTAAAACACTGTTCCATCTCTCTCTCTCTCTCTCTCACACACACACACACACACACACATACTTGCTTCAACAATATAATACTTAGTGTACTTCATCCCGTGCATTATAAAAGTGGTTTAGCACTGTAAGGAGTCTTCTGGGACTTGAAGTTTTTACTGAACACTCTATTTCTAAAATCCATCCATATCGTGTGTAACTTTAGCTCATTCAATTTCCTTGCTGCACAATTAAATGTCCATTAAGTGAATATATTATAATGTATTTATCCATTTTCTGTAGATGGGGGCTCTGAGTTATTTCCTGTTTTTAAGTTTTCTGTTGCAAATAAATGTGCAGTTTCTCCAGTCTACAGTAGATACCTAGGGGTAGGATTGCTGGTTCACAAGATATGCAAAGGTCCAACAGAACACGAGAATGCTAACTTGTTCCTTACAGGTGCTGTAACAATCTACAATCCCATCAATGTTTAGAAGTGCTTCTTGCTTTGTAGCCTTTCTAATTCTTGGTGTCATCGGTGGGGGTAAAACAGCATCTTACTGAGGTCTTGGTTTGCATTTCCTGATCATTAGTGAGACTGAAATTGTTTGAGTTTATTGGCCACACACATCTTCTTTCAGTGAAGGGTCTGTTAATATCTTTTATGTACCTATTTTATTATTTATCTTTCTCATCAATTTGTTTATATGTTCTGCCTATCAGTCCTTGTAGGTTGAATGTGTTACATATACTTTCTCTCACTCTGGCTTATCTCTCTTTCATTTAAAAAATGCATTTAATTTAAAAAAGTTTAAACTTTAATGTAGTTGAACTTATTCACATTTTCTTTTCTAGTTAGTGCTTTAGTATCTTAAGAAATCATTTTCTATTCCAAGGCCAGAAAGATCATCTCCCACATTCATACTCAAATCCTTAATTCAAATGGAATTCCTTTTTTGTGTAAGCTGTGAGGTTAGGATGAATGAGCTCAGCAATTGCCCCAGCACAGCTTCCTGCAAAATCCCCCTTCTCCCAGCTGATCTTCCACAGTCCAGTGTATGTCAGAGTCTGCCTCGGGACTTTCTATGTAGTCTCCGCTTGTCATTATTTCTGTTTATCCTTGAGCACACGGCATTATGGCTTGTTTTATAATTTTTCATAAAAGTAAGGTAATTCTCACAACCTTATTTTTTTCAAGAGTGTTAGGTCTATTCCTTACCCTTCCATATAAAGGTCTGCTTTTCAAGTACCATAAAGAAAACCAAACTTGTATTTTTATTATAGTAGCATTGACTCCATAAATCAAATTAGGGAACACTGACATGTTTATGATGTGTGTTGTCTTATCCATGAACATTATATCTCTCTCTATTTAGGTCTTTTAAAATGCCTTTCAATAGAGTTGTATCACTTTGTGCAGACAGGGCTTACAAATTTTTTGTTAGATTTATTATTGGGAACTTTATATTTCTGTAGCGATGGAAATACACTTTGAAAATTGTGTTTTCAAATACTTTTTGCTGCTGTATAGAAATGCAACTTATTTTTATTGACTTCACAGGCAGCTATCTTGATAAAAATATTATTTCTAAAAATTTGTAGATTCTTTTGGGGTTGCTATGTAGATAATCACAACATTTCTGAATAATATTTTGGTTTTTTTCTTCCTAATACTTAGGACAATAATTTTTTTTTTTAATTTACTGTACTTGCTAGGACTTTTGGTACAAATTTGGAAAAAAGTGGTGATGGTGAGCATTCTCTTTCCTGATTTTGAAGAATTATTTTAAATATTTCCCCATTAAGAATCATCTTTGCTGTGGGGTGCCTGGGTGGCTCAGTCGTTAAGTGTCTGCCTCTGGCTCAGGTCATGATCCCAGGGTCCTGGAATCGAGTCCCGCATCAGGCTCCCTGCTCCGCGGAAAGCCTGCTTCTCCCTCTCCCACTCCCCCTGCTTGTGTTCCGTCTCTGTCATATAAATAAATAAAAAATCTTTAAAAAAAAAACTTTGCTGTAATACTTTGTTGATTCTTCTCATCAGATTAAGGAAGTCCTGTCTATTCTTAATTTGCATTAATTTACATCATGAATGGTATTGCATTTTATCAAATACAATCTACTGAAATAACTTCATAATTTTAAGCCTTTAATTTGGTTGATGAAATACAGAGTTTTCCTAAAGTTAGACCGTTTTTGTATTTCTGGGATAAACTCAACTTGATAAAGGTGCATCCTGTAAAAGAAAAATATATGCTGTTGGATTTAGTCTGTTAAAATTTGGCTTTTTTTTTTTTTTAAGATTTTATTTATTTGACAGAGAGAGACAGCGAGAGAGGGAACACAAGCAGGGGGAGTGGGAGAGGGAGAAGCAGGCTTCCCGCAGAGCAGGGATCCCGATGCAGGGCTTGATCTGAGGATCCTGAGATCATGCCCTGAGCCGAAGGCAGATGCTTAATGACTGAGCCACCCAGGTACCCCTTGGTTTATGGTTTTGATACCTATGTTTGTGAGTGAGCTTAGAGTATAATTTTCTTTCTCATAATGTCTTTGTCTAGTTTTGTTTTCAAGGTTACACTAGTCTTGTCTCAAGCAATTAACTGGAAAGTTGTTCCCTTTTCTGCTGTCCAGAAGAGTCTGTTTATATTGAGATGGTGTATTTCTTAAAAGTTTGGTAAAAGTCATATTTAAAATAAATACACCTTATATTCTTTGTAAGAAGATTTTTTTTTAACCTACTGCTTCAATTTATTTGAGTTCTGATACCCAAATGAATTTGGATAATTACATTTTTCTAGAAATTTGTCTTCAATTTGTCTTACAAATTGTTTTCAAATTTATTGGCATAATTGTATCATTTTCTTATCTTTTTAGCTGTAGTTTTGCTTCCCCTTTCCCTCAATATTAGTTATTTGTGCTTTATTTTTTCTTTTCTTTTTTTTTAAAGATTTTATTTATTTATTTGAGAGAGAGAGAGAGAGAGAGAGAGAGCATGAGAGGGGGGAGGGTCAGAGGGAGAAGCAGACTCCCTGCTGAGCAGGGAGCCCGATGCGGGACTCGATCCCGGGACTCCAGGATCATGACCTGAGCCGAAGGCAGTCGCTTAACCAACTGAGCCACCCAGGCGCCCTGCTTTATTTTTTCTTGATTAATTCTGTCTGACTAGTGCTTCAAAGAAACAACTTTTGGGGTGTGGATCTCTATTCTACCTTTGGTTTCTGTTTCATTGATTTCTGCACCTAATAATAGAACTTAAAAATGCAAGAATAAAAAATTGATAGAAAATAAAATATATACAAATTCAGAATTATAGCTGTAGATTTCAATATGCTTCTCAATAACAGAAGAAATACACAAAAAATGAGTAAAGATAAAGAAGACATGAACAATATTATCAAATAACTTGACCTAAATGACATTTCTAAAATACTCTAACAGGGCGCCTGGGTGGCTCAGTTGGTTAAGCGACTGCCTTCGGCTCAGGTCGTGATCCTGGAGTCCCGGGATCGAGTCCCGCATCGGGCTCCCTGCTCGGCGGGGAGTCTGCTTCTCCCTCTGACCCTCCCCCCTCTCATATGCTCTCTCTCTCTCATTCTCTCTGTCAAATAATAAATAAAATCTTTAAAAAAAAATAAAATAAAATAAAATACTCTAACAGTAGTAGTGTTCTTTTCTGATGTACATGGAACATTTACCAAGACAGATTATTTTCTGGGTCATAAAACAAGTCTGAATAAGTTCAAAAGAATTTAAGTCACACAAACTATGTTCATTTACTGCAATGAAATTAAATTAGAAATCAATTAAAGAGATCTGGAAAATGCCCAATAGTTGGAAACCCAAATAACATACTTCTAAATAACTTAGAGATCAAAGGAGAAATTAGGAGGAAAATTATAATCTATTTTAAACTGAATGAAAATACCAAAAACTACTGATGTAATGTACGTTACTAACATAATAAAATAAAATAAAATAAAACTGAATGAAAACACAACAAAATTTGTGATATGCGACTAAAACAGAATTTAGAGGGAACTTTTAGCACTAAACACCTACCTTAGAAAAGCAAGGGATCAAATCAATAACCTAAGCTTCCACATAAAGAAACTAAAAAAACCCCCAGCAAATTAAATCCTAAGAAGCAGAAGACAGGAAATAGTAAAGGTAAGAGCAGACATCAATGAAGGAGAAAATAAAAACAACAGGGAAAAATCAATGGATCCAAAACCTTGAGTTCTTGGTTCTTTGAGAGGATCAATAAAATGGATAAATTTCTAGTCAGTCTGATCAGGAAAAAAAAGAGAAAAGATACAAAGTACCAACATCAGAATTATGACAGCATATGTTATTACAGATCCTACAGATGTTAGCAGAATGAGAAAAAAAAATATTATGAACAATTTTATGCTAATAAATTCAACAACTTAGATGAAGTGGACAAATTTCTTTAAAGACACAACAAAACTCACTCAAGAAGAGAGATAATTTGAATACTTTTATTAAAGAAACTGAACTTGCCCTGCCCCTTATTACAGATTGTTTTTGAGATTGCTTACTTCTGGGGGGCGCCTGGGTGGCTCAGTCATTAAGTGCCTGCCTTCAGCTCAGGTCATGATCCCAGGGTCCTGGGATTAAGCCCCACATTGGGCTCCCTGGTCTGAGGGAAGCCTGCTTCTCCCTCTCCCACTCCCCCTGCTTGTGTTCCCTCTCTCGCTGTGTCTTTGTCAAATAAATAAATAAATCTTAAAAAAAAAAAAAGATTTTACTTCTTGGCTTCTATTTGTTCTTATCATTTTTTGTTGCTGTTGGTCTGATCCTTAAACGCTTCTTTTTTCCTTTTTTTTCCACTTCTTGCATTTTTTTTTTTTGATCCTCCCCTTCCTACCTTCATTATTTTATCCTCAAAGATTTGGGATTTGTGCATTCTTTTTAATGGTTAACCTTAAATCTTTACTCAGTACTTAACGCAAAGTCCAAGCAATGTGTTAATTCATTCCTCCTAAATGTTAAGAGGCCTTTTGAACATCTTAACTCGAATCATCCCACCCTCAAATATATATTGTTTTGTACAGTATTTCAGTTTAGCCATTTCTCTTAAAAATCCCACAAACTGGGCGCCTGGGTGGCTCAGTTGGTTAAGCGACTGCCTTCGGCTCAGGTCATGATCCTGGGGTCCCGGGATCGAGTCCCGCATCGGGCTCCCTGCTCGGCGGGGAGTCTGCTTCTCCCTCTGACCCTCCTCCCTCTCATGCTGTCTCTCATTCTGTCTCAAATAAATAAATAAAATCTTAAAAAAAAAAAATCCCACAAACTATCATTTTCTACAGACATGTTTGGGTTTGCATGCCTGTATCATTTTATCTGCTTGCAAATCTTTTGTCTCAGACAATTCTTTGGCTTTCATATAGAGAAGTTCCTTTAGGTAAGACTCTTGGTAGTAAACTTTTCCCAGTTATCTTTAAATGTCTTTATTCTTCTCTCATTGTAAGGTACACAATTCTAGGGGGGCCCAGTATGCTTTCAAAACTATCATCAGGCTTAGATAGTTGCTGTAAGAAACAGGCTGTCATTTTAACCATCATTCCTCTGTAATCTGTCCTTTCTGTCTCCATAAGGGCAGAGATCTTTGTCTAAATTTTTCTTCACTGATTTATCCCAAGCACTTAAAAAGTATTTGGTACACAGTAGGCCTTTGCTACATATTTGTTGATGAATAAATTCGTGCATGCAGGTTATGTGGTCTTTATTAAGTGGTCAGATGCAAATCCAAAATTATATAATCTGCTCTGTGGTACCGTGGCTGGAACTCTGCAAACCATAGTTCTCCTTCGCCAGCAGGCTTCTTGTTGGGGTCTGCAAACGTGCACACTAGCAGACCGGAAGGCAAGGGGGAGAAGGGCTTTTCTCTTCCTGTCTGCGTGTTGCACCTGCCACTGTCATCTGAGCAACAGCACCTTGCACTCACAGACCCAGCCTCACTGCATCCCTTCAGCAGCCAGGCTTGGCTCCCTCTTCAGAAGCCAGAACCCCCGCTTGCCAGAACTCCGCCTGTGAACGCTTAGATTTTGAAAACCCCACTGCCTGCCTGTTTCTCTCATCCCTAGGGGTGGGAGCCAGGCCCAACAGTTGGTATCTCTAGCTTACCAGTCACGTGTTCCCTTTTTTTTCTTTTTCGCCCTCCCACAACAATGTAATCCATTCTCTACCTTCAGTTTGCTCTTCTGAATGACCTAATGTCGTTTCTGTTTTCCTGACAGCACCCTGAATGAAACAGATGCTTTTAAGATACCTTTGTCTTTGTTGTTTTACTATGATGTAGCTAGGCATGGAATTCTTTTTATTTATCCAGCTTGGAATATAGCACGCTTCCTGAATCTGTTGATTCACTTATCTTCTTGTCTCTATAATATTTTAGGTAATTTTTTATGCACAAAGCTCGCAATTCACTAGTTATTTGTGTCTGATTCACCCAATGAGTATTCAACCTAAACAAATATATTTATTTATTTATTTTTAAAGATTTTATTTATTTATTTGACAGAGAGAGAGACAGTGAGAGCAGGAACACAAGCAGGGGGAGTGGGAAAGGGAGAAGCAGGCTTCCCGCCGAACAGGGAGCCCGATGTGGGACTCGATCCCAGGACCCTGGGATCATGACCTGAGTCGAAGGCAGACGCTTAATGACTGAGCCACCCAGGCGCCCTATTTTTATTTTTTTAAAGATGTTATTTATTTGTCAGAGAGAGACACAGAGAGAGAGGAAACACAAGCAGGGGGAGTAGAAGAGGGAGAAGGAGGCTTCCTGTGGAGCAGGGAGCCCGATGCGGGGCTCGATCCCAGGATCCTGGGATCATGACCTGAGCCAAAGGCAGGCGCTAAATGACTGAGCCACCCAGGCGCCCCCAAATATATTTTTAGTTTAAGATGTGTCAATTTGTTTTTTTAACTTCCTCATTTCTGATATGCTATTTGGTTGCTCATCTTTGAGATAACATTTAAAAAATATTTTATAATGAGAAATTTCAAATATATACAAAAGAAGACAATAGTGTAAGAACTTCCATGCACTCATTGCCCAGCTTCAACACTTATCAACTCATGGTCACTTCTGATTTTCTCTAACCCCTCATCCATATTAATCTGAAGCAAATCCCAGACTTCATATAATTTCATCAGTAAGTTTTCCAGCGCGTACCTCTAAAAGATAAAAACTCATGATTAAAACATAAGATTAATAAAGCTTGCCTAAAATATTGAAAATTATTTTTTAATATCATCAATAGTCCTGTTTCCCCTGGTTGTCTTATGCAGGTTCATTCTGCTTTTGTAATCTGAATCATAATCTAAATAAAGTCCATATGTTGCCATTGGTTAATGTGTTCTGTAAGTCTCTTGATTTCTAGGGTTCATCTTCATCTACTTTTTAACATTTCTGTAGAAGAAATGGGGTTATTCATCCTGTTGTTTTCCACTGACTGGATTCTGCTGATGGCATCCCAGGAGTCATCTAACATGCTCCTTTGTCCCCTGTATTTCCCATTAGTTGGTAGAGGCTTGACTGGCCTCAGATTTGACTTACCGAGGAGGGAGGGTGGCAAAACACTTCACAGGTGGTAATGTGAACGTCCAACGGTACCCCACACAGTGTCTGGGTGTATTTGTGAAGTTAGCAGTGAGTGATGATCACTGCCATAAATTAATTAGGAGCAGCAAAACTGTAATATTCTATCATTTCTAGTTTACTGGTTGGAATATTCCTATAAAGAGATTTTTTCTCATCAATGAATCATTAACCCCAAAGTACAGTTCATTTAGAAAGGAAGGAAACATATTTGTTATTTTCTCTTTATATTAAAAAAAAAAAAACCCACCAAAAAACAAACAAAACAAAAAACTAAGTTGTTCCCATGCATCCTCCAAGGCCAAATCCTCATAGTGAATTTGGGAGTTTAAATATCGTTTAATATATGTGATGTGTTCCACCCACTCAGTTGCTTTGTTGATTTTTGCTGCTCAAAGTGTTCCATCTTTGGCCAATGGAAGCATATTCCAGTTGGCTCTGAGTTCTTCTGACACAAACTTTGTGTCAGAGCCTCTTTGCTTTCCCAGACTTGGTAGAAGCCATTTCTCCAAGGAATTCTGGTTCTTTTTAGTGGAAAATGGTATCTAAACATCAATATCTAGGCACAAAGTGGTAACAATACTGGGTTACTCACTGATACTAGTCTTTTCATCAAATAAAGTTAGGAAATGTGTAAATACATAAGAAAGTTTTGCTATTATTTCTAATTCACGACTACAGACATTTACTTAACATCATCATTCTCACACTTTTATGTCCTTCACCTGTACCCAAACTCTAGTTCTCAACATCACCAACAAAATTACTCGTTTATTTTGCATTGCACACACCTACAGCCTCAGAACAATATCAGTATTATTAATGACAGTATTATTGAAAACGAATAAGGTTTTCTTTTGTGCTTAGGGTAAATCCCATCAAGGGAGGCAGTCCAATAATTGTCTTTTAAAGTCACTTGGAATAGTTCCTCTTGATGGTTATACCACCAACTGAATACATAGTTGGGCTCACTTAATTTTACTTTTAATTAGGAATTGCCTTATTAAAATTTGTTTTGTAATTATATAAAATATTTGTTTTCAAAGTCAAGTAGAAAGGACAATGTAGATTCAAGGAAAACTAGCTTTATGCCCAGTCTTTCCCATCCAATTTCTTTCTTCCCTCTATGGAAAACCATTTACAAGTATTTTTAAAAGTTACTCTTCCATTTTAAAATATCTGTTTCTCTCTACATACATCCCCCACCTTGCCATTGTTTAAAAAACAAAATATTGTAATCAGAGAGATGATTTTCTCCACTTTTTCTTTTTTCCACTGGCTATATCCTGGAGATTACTTCATAGAAGTTTACAGAAATTGTCTTCATTCTTTTTGACAGCTGTAAAAGACTCCATTGTGTGGATGTTCACACCCAATAAACACCCATGGATGAGTTTTTATTTAATCAGTCTCCTTCTGTTGGGCATTTGGGTTGTTTCCAGTCTGCTATTACAAATGAGGCTACAATCAACAGCCTTATTCATAGGTATTTTTGTATTAATTTTTTTGCCAGTGTATTTTTAGAAAAGATTCCTGAAAGCTGGCTACACAGGTAAATGAATGTATAATTTTGCTAGATGTAGTCAATTTTCTCTCCATAAAGGTTATTCCACTTTGCCTTTCCACCGGCAATGTATGAAGAGCAGTGCCAATTTCCCCACAGCCTCACTGAGTCTATCAAATTTCTGAATTTCTGCCAGTATCATTGGCAAGAAATATCTCACTGTAGTTTTGATTTGTTTTTTTTCTAGCTTTTTGAGATTAAAGCATAGATCACTGATTTGTTTTTTGTTTTTTTTTTTAAACTAATATATCCATTTAAGGGCTATAAACTTCCCTCAAGCACTGCTTTAGCTGCATTCCCACAAGTTTTGACATGCTTTATTTTTGTTACCATTCATTTCAAAATATTTTCTAATTTTGCTTGGGCTTTCACTGACCCATGGGTTACATAGAGGTGTACTGTTTAATGTCACCAAAATTGCTGAGGATCTTCCATCTTTCCTTTTGCTTCTGATCTTTATTTTTTTTTAATTTAATTCCACTATGGTCAGAAAATATACTCTGCATATTATTTCAATATTTTAATTTATGACTCAGCTTATGATCAACACAGTAAATGGTCCACGTGCATTTTTTAAAAATTTATCTTAAGTGGGCTCCATCCTAACATGGGGCTCGAACTCATAACCTCAAGATCAAGAGTTGCATGCTCTACCAACTGAGCCATATGCTTTTTTTAAAAAATGAGAATTATGTCACAGTTTAATGCAACATTATATAAATATGTTAGGTCAAATTTGTTTTTTAGCAAGATGATCTATATTTTTACTTTTTTTTGTCTGCTTAGTTCTATCACCTACTGAGAGAGGTTGACATCTATTATGATTGTAGACTCATTTGTTTCTCTGTATAGATCTGCCAATGTTTAATGCTTGCCTTATTTGAAATTATCTTATTGGTTACATACAGATTTACAATTTTCTGTATTCCTGGTGGACTGACCACTCTATTATTATGAATTGTCTTTTTCTGTAGTAATTCTTCTTCCCTTAAATTCCACATTGTCTGATGTTAGTATAGTTAAAACAGCTTTCTTTTATTTAGTATTTATATATCTTTTTCCCATGTTTAATTTCAACTATTTAATATCTTATATTAAAGTGCGTTACTTGTGAACAGTACATAATTGGGTTCAGTATTTTAACCCAGTCTGATAATGTTGGTACTCTAATTGGAATACTTAGTCCCTTTGTATTTACTGTCATTACTGACATATTGTGCTTATCTCTATCGCTTTACTATTTCTGTTTTATTTTACCCATTTTTATATTTTACATATAACATATATTTCTATTTTATATTCCTTTTGTCTTCCTTTCTTGCTTCTTTACTGAATTAATCAAATGTTTTCTTATTATTCCATTTTTCCTTAACTATACATTCTTTAACTGTTCGTTTAATGACTAGCCTAGAAACTACAATATGCATCTTTAAATTACTCCAGACTAAAAATACAAATGATTACTTTAATTTTACTACTTCCCTGATAATGCTAAAACCTAACATCCTGCCCATGTGTACTCATGGGAAAATTAATCTCATGTGAATCTTTTAGCTGTGTTCCCCTGGAAACCTAACAAAGGTAGAATGTCAGCCATGTTACCAGCCAACACAGTTATGGTAAAGCTGACCTGACTAAACTACAGTGGACTGCAAGGACTGTGACCATTCCCGAGTGTGACGTTTCTTGGCCCTTGTTGGAATTCTTGGACTCTAGGCCCACCAGACTCTCGTAAAAGTTATTGGTTCCTATATGGAACTTGCGAGTTCTAAACCAGGGCTGTCCCCACACTCAACTCATGTGGTCTTGATCCCTTACCCCTGAGCTGTCATTTGGGGGAAGGGGCAGATAAGGGGCAGATAACTGTCCCCGGGACTGCTGCCAGACTGCTCTGGGAACTTTTTTTTTTTTTTTAAGACTTTATTTATTTATTTGACAGAGAGAGAGATAGCGAGAACAGGAACACGAGCATGGGGAGTGGGAAAGCAGGGAGCCTGATGCGGGGCTCGATCCCAGGACCCTGTGATCATGACCAGAGCCGAAGGCAGACGCTTAATGACTGAGCCACCCAGGCACCCCTGCTCTGGGAATTCTTGGAAAACACGTGAAAAGCCGCGTGGCTGGCTTACTGGGTTTCCTATTCTATCCTTCTGAGTGAAGGCAAGACCACAAGTGCCCTGAGTTGTGCGAGTATAAAATATTTATCTAGCTGGCCAGGAATCCACTGACAGTGGATACTGCCGAGTTGTAGCAGCAGCAGAATGGACTTTCATATCCTTGGTTCAATGTGGCCAAGGCACTGTGACATAAAAGAATGCCCAGGGAAATGCAGATGAGACTCAAGTCTCAGTGGGGGGCCAACTTCCTCAGAGTCTGATGGCAAAAGTTTGACATCGTGTGATAGAGGATAAATCTTTCCATTGTGGGACTAGATGAAAGCTGGAGACAAATTTATGCCGAGAGAAACAGCCCACTCCTCCCCTCCCCACTGTCCATGAAATGGAACTGACCAGAAGTGCAGCTGTAAGTGGGCCGGCTGGCAAGAATGACATTGCCTTGGGGTAGCTGATGCATTTGGGTCAAACTAGGCATTGATGCTTGGCAAGGGGTGGGGAAGAGACTCGAGCTTGACTCTGTGTTTGTGACCGGGGCTGGAATAGACAAGAGGGTGGAGTAGCTGGGTTGGCTCTGACCAAAACTGGGTTGGCCACAGATCTAATCAGCATGGAGCGGTGATCCTGAGCCCCTAGCTGGGGGAATGGGGGACAGAAGTGGGAGAACTACTCTGCACCAGCACACAGGTTGAAAAGGGCTAGGTGGCAAGTTGGCACACAAACTGGCTACACTGGAAATCGCCACAGTACGGTGCACATCTGGGGTGGCAAAGGTTTCTGAGCAGCTCACGTGGAAGCAACCTCAGCTGCAACCTGGGGCAGCACCCTGAGGGTTTAACCCTCACATGGGGACTGACCAATGTCATCTGCGGACACTTAGTGATAATTAATGGCAATGCAAACTAAAAACTCCTGGGGCTTTTGAAGAAATAACAAAGGATAACGACTATTCTAAAGTTGGAAGCAAAGAGGATATGGACATCCTTGTTCTTCTGTGAGTAATAAATGAGAAGGGCGTGCTTTATTTGTCATCACTGTCATTTTCTAAGGCAGTGGTTTCAAAATGTGATCTTCATACCAGCAGTGTCACCCAGCAGCTTACTAGAAATGTCCATTCTCAAGCCCAACCCCAGTCCTACTAACTCAGGAAGCCCAGCAATCTGTTGAGTCTAATAAGCCCTCCAGGTGATTCTGGTGGACCCTGAAGTCTGAGAGTTGTTGTATTAAAGTTAGTAACTCAAGGTCATGGAGGTTGGTCTGTGAGCCCACAGTGGAAATGGTTCTAGCTTCTAGCTCTATTTTCCTGAAAACCTAATAAAGGGGGAATGTTCTCTTACAGGCAAGGTAGCTTATAGTAAAAATGACCTCAGTTGGTAAATTGTATCTGGATGAGGAGAACTGGAAATAAACTATAAACACCTCATGGAAAGCCAGTTTTGAGCTTCTGAGTGCCATGGTTCTTGTAAATAGCTATGCCCTTTCCAGGACTTAAGGGGCTATCACAAAAGATACTGGTTTTTATATGGAACTTGGGACATCTAAGTCAGGATAGTTCCCACAATACATCATTTGACTTGTTCCCTTGCACTTGAACTGTGACTTGGCAGCAAAGTGTGGCAGGCAGAGAACAGTCCCTGGACTAAATAAAGACTCATACCTGATGCTGTTGCACTTTCCTATCAGAAGATACTACTGTTATTACTTTGTACGGTCATACTCATTTATATTTACTCTTAATATTTACCCTTTCTGTTGCTCTCTGCTCTTTCCTGTTTCCAGCCAGGATAGTTTTCTTTCTGCCCGAAGAAATTCCTTTAGTGATGTTTAGTGCAAGTCTGTTGGTAACATCTTTCAGTTTCTGGCGGTCTAAAATCTTTATTTAACCGTCATTTTTAAAAACAGGTATAATTTACATAGAGAGAAATGCTCAGATCTTAAGTAAAACATTCACTTTTGACTACTAGAGACACAAAAAATTTCCAACACTCTAGAAAGTCCTTTCAAGTTGTTTCCCAGTCAACCCTTTCCTCCACAAAGCAACCAGTGATCTGATTTCTAACACCATAGGTGAGTTCTCCTGTTCAGAATTTTATATAGTTGGGAATCATATACTATGCATGTTTTTGTGTCCAATTTCTTTTATTAGCATAGTATTTTTGAGATTCATCAATATGGATGTTGGATCTTTCTTGCTGAATCCATTAGTATAATTAGTACCCATTGTGTAAATACACCATTGCTCATCCATTCTTCTATTGACTGGCACCTCACTGTTTTTTTGGCTATTATGAATAAATCTGCTGTGAGCATTTTTTAACAAGTATTTTGTGGACAATGTATTTTCATGTCTCTTTGATAAACATCTACCAGTAAAATTCCTGTATCATATATGCTTAACTTTTTAATAGACAACCAAACTTTTCCCAAATATCTGTACTGTTATACTTCCACTGCCAACACATGAGAGTTCTGGTTGCTCTACAGCATCTCCAACATTTGCCATTACCAATCTTTTTCTTTTAGCTCTTCTAATGCTAGTTAGTGCTTCCTGCTTCAAAGTCTATTTTTTCTTTTTCTTTTTTTTTTTTAAAGATTTTATTTATTTGACAGAGAGACAGCGAGAGAGGTAACACAAGCAGGGGGAGTGGAAGAGGGAGAAGCAGGCTTCCCGCTGAGCAGGGAGCCCAATGTGGGACTCGATCCCAGGACCCTGGGACCATGACCCGAGCTGAAGGCAGATGCTTAACGACTGAGCCACCCAGGTGCCCCAAAGTCTATTTTTTCTGATGAGAGTATACCTCTATCACCTTTTTTTATTGTTTGCATGGTATATTATTTTCCGTCTTCAGTCATGAAGTACTTCTGTGCCTGATATTTAAAGAGTTTCTCTTATAAGCAGCATATAGTTGAATTTAAAAAATCCATTCTATACTAAATGCATAAATTATATAACTTTTTTTACCTAACTACTGATATGCTTGGGATCTATACTTCCTATTTTACCATTTGTGTTTTATTTTTATGTGCCTTTTCCTTTCCTGACTTTCTTCAGATTAATCAAATGTTTTATATTATTCCATTTTCCTTCTGTTAAATTACATTTTAAAACCATTGTTAGTAGTTTGCCTAGAGCTTAAAACTGTATTTTTACTTATCACAGTCCCATGCGAATTATTACTTTAGTACTTGGCTGATACCAGTTAAACCTTAAAACTTTTAAACTCCATTTACTTCCCTCTCATCATCTGTTATTGTTACCGTGGATTTTAGTGATAACGTAAAAGTGCGGCGCCTCCGGGTCCTGCAGGTATGATTTTGTACAGCTACCGTTCATTCACATTTGTCTTCCTGGCGTTCCTCAGTCCCTCCTGCATGTCAATATTTCCATCTGGGATATTTTCCTGAGAACTTTCTTTAATTATTATTTCAGTGCAGGCCCACTGGTGCCAGATTGTCTGAATTTTCGTTTCTTTGAACTCATCTTTATTTCACCTTAATATTTGAAGGACATGTTTGCTGGTATAAAATTCTAGGCTTGCAGCTTTTTTCTTCCAGCTTGAAAGCTGTGGTTACACTGGCCTCTGGTTTCTACCATCTCTGTTGAGATGCTGTCAGTCCTGCTGCTCCTCTGGAGGGACCCACGGTGCGTTAAAGATGGGCCATGTATTCTCTGTCATGACTAGCAGACGCAGGACGTTTCCCCTGCCTTTGGCTTTGAGCAGGCGCGCTGGCACTCGCTTGGACAGAGTGATGCCACTGCAGTTCTGCTACGCATAGGCTCGCAAAGGCGCTCAGAGGCCGGCGTGCTTCTGTTTTCCCCCTTGTGGAGCCCCGAGCCACCACGGAGAAAGGGCCAGCCACCCTGCCGGAGAGACTCCCGAGACAGAGCTTCCCAGCTGTGCCCCAGCTACCCCAGCCACTCCAGCGGACGCATCAGACATGCGAGTGATGGCCAGGCCCAGGCGAGTCTGCGACACTGCTTTGGTGGCCAGGCCCAGGCGAGTCTCTACACGTCTGCAGTAGCATGAGCGACTCCAAGTGAGACCAGAAGAAATGCCCAGCTGAGTCTAGCTCAGACTGCACAATCTTGAGCACATAACGGTTTTGTCGGAAGCCAGTAAATTCTGGGCTGGTTTCTGAGGCAGAAGTGGATAACTGAAACACTGTTTGGTATTCAGAATGGAGTGCTGCCGTAATAGAAACTTAGAACCTGTGGTGTTCTAGGACTGGGTTGAATACAACTGCTGAGCATCAGTGAGACTTAACGGAGGCTGGAAAAGCACGGAGGAAATCACTGTTGGAGGCTGGAGAAGGGGCAGGCTTACCTATTGGCAAAACAAACGGTGAGGCTGTACCTTGGAGTACAGCAAAAATACCTAACCGCGTTGTGGATCTGGCTAGGAAGACTTCCAAGAGGAATACTGAAAGTGACGGGCTTTTTGAAAAATCCTCTAGTAGGGCATTAAAAGAGAGAGAACTTAAACAAGAAACTGTGCAGTTTTCAAGCAGAATTTAGAAAAAATGCCTTAAGCTGGGACTTGCCAGGTTAGAAAATGAAAGTTTTTCAACTAACAGCTTCTCCAATCAGCATGAGGTTTTAAAGTAAAAAAAAAAAAAAAAAATCCAGAATGTTACCAGTAAAACTATGGCCTCAGGGTCAAGCTCAAATCGGAAGCATGGCAGTAGGACCCTTTGTTACTCCCACCTCAGAAGGTAGATGTAAGCCTCATAAGGCTCTCTCAGACAAAAAGCGTCTAAAAATCTTAAGGGCATTTACACCCTGGACTCACATTCCAAGGTAGACAGGGGCCTTCTTGAAGAGATTTGGGGTGTGGGTTCTGTCTGGAGTGACTTATAATTTGAAGGTCTACAAAGTCTTTTAAAGGGGTTGTGCCAGCGTGGACTATAAGGGACAGAGAGGTGGGAAGCAAGATGAGTGAGTTCTTCAACTGCCAACCCAGGCCTTTCTTACAGAAAAGGAAAGACTACTCAGAGAGAAGGGTCAGGAGCGGAGAAGCAGATTAGGGAACCAAGCCCAGGAAACCAAAATGGGCCATAATCAAGGAATATTCCTTGTAATGCAAGTCATCATGGGAACTGGTGACATATGGCCAGACAGGGTCCAGAATCGACAGGGAAGAGTGACTGCTACGTCCTTCCCGTTTCCTCTCTTTAAAACTGCCATGACTTCCCTATTCCTGCCATACTGTCGTGTCGTGCCGGAAGCCAAGGTGATTCTCTCAATCACTAGGTTATAGTACCGCTTTAACATTACATGCTAATAAAGTGGAAAGATACCCAACCATAAAGTAATTAATTTTAGTTTTACAAAACCCCCTCTTTACATAAATATCACACAGAAACAGATGAACAGTCTTAGAAACTCTGTTCTATGTCCTCTAGGCTCTATGAAAATGCAGTTTTGCAGATATTTTCTTTCATCATTTCAAGAGAAGAAGATATTTAAAGTTGTGTTTCCCATCCACAATCTGAAATGCCAACTACTCTTCTCCACCAGAAGGACACCTGACTTATGTCATATACTGTGATTCCATGGTTGCCAGGACCCCCATCTCCATGTACCCACGCTGGAGTAAAGAGGACAAAACTGATGAGGTAGGTTTCACCACGGGAGGTAAGCAAGGCCGCCACAAAGAGTACTACTAACTGAGTGATGGAAAAAGCAATGGAAAAGTGATGGAAACTTTTAGTGATGGGTTATTTCATGTCCTCCCTTTAGCTACTAAGTGCTGCGTAACTCATGGAAGAGGTTAGAGCCACTTCGTGGCAAATCACCCGGGAAAGTTAGAAGGTGGACGAATGATAGTTTCCAGCTTTCCTACAGGGTGACTTACCTTTTCCAAAACTTTGGCAATTCGCGTGCCAATTTGTTCGAGTGACTGCTGTGGATATTGGTCTTTGCCAAGATTCTGCAGTACCTGGTGCAGGGAAAGATGGCAGGTGAGAGCAATGAAAGGAGCAGGATCTAGGTGACGCTGCTGACGCTGAGTTGGACACTAGAGCCCAAAAGCAATGGCTGCTGTGGGTACGTGCTGTGGTCCTGCTGGTCAAGATGTGTGGAAGCCTTTAGAGTGTCCCTTCCGTCCCCTTCCACTTAACAAAAACTACAGACATGTAAAACACATTCATCACAGCAACATTAGAAAACAGAGTAAATAAAGTTAAAACTATCTATAATCTTGTCACCTAGATGCAACCACTGCTAATATCTTTATACTGATCTCTCAGGTATTTTTCTGAAATAATATGTATACACACATATTACTTCTCTCACAGAATATGGGATCACACTGCATATTGTCACCTATATTTTCACATAATATGAAGATTTCTTCATGCCAATAAATGTATTTCTACTACATTTTTCTTGTTGTCACCTATATTTTCACATAATATGAAGATTTCTTCATGCCAATAAATGTATTTCTACATTTTTCTTGTTGTCACCTATATTTTCACATAATATGAAGATTTCTTCATGCCAATAAATGTATTTCTACTACATTTTTCTTGAGCGCTCCATTGTATACTATCTTATATCTATACAACATTTATTTAACAAACCCTCTATTCTTGGACATTTGTGGTATGTTTCTCCAATTGTTCTTCTTAGCATGCTGTTTGCTAGGTATATGCCAAGTCTGCTCACCTTCCTTGCCTTCTTAAGAATGCCAACAGGAGAACAAGCTGCCCTAAGTAATTCTTACAAGAGCCTCTGTCTAATGGCAAGCAGAATGCTACCCACCTTGAGGAGTGAATCAGAATTAAACTTTCCTGGCCATTAAAAGAGGGCATAAACTCAATCCCAGGGCCTGAAAGAAATTAGGCCTGGCCTAAAGTCACCAAGATGACAGCCAGCTGAAAAAAGACAAAAAAACATGGCCTGGCCACTGGGCTTTCTGCTATGAGCTGCATCATCACTGTGGCGCTAACTATAGACAGGCTGAATAAAGCTGAGCACTCACCTCTGTTAACTGACTCTCACCCGTGTAGTGAAGGCTGGCCCGGTTGGAGACCCCGTGCAAGTGGTCCAGGGTGTGCATGCTCGTGGGGAGATTGCCATTGCAAAGAGGCTCCATCGCTGGCTGCTGTATTGGAGTGGCAAAGTCGATGTGTTCTGTGATGCTGAAAAATGGAGATTGCCACATTAGCCATGGAAAACCTGAGTGGGTAGGGAGCAAGAGTATGAATAATCAGCTGATCGTAACTTCACTATGTTACTAGGACTGTCTGGAACCACAGACTCACAGACTGAAGAGACCTCAGAAGTGATCTAGTCTGATCTCTCATTTTACAGGTGCAAGGATCCAGTGCCTGGCAATAACTGTTGAATGTGTGAGCAGAGATCATACCCCAGGTCAAAGGAGCAGGAATCTGAGTCCTGAACGCAGTGATTTCCTGGTCCACTCAAGCTGCCTCCTTTCTATGCACCATGGTGTCTGGTCTGGTCACTGCCATTGGCCACTTTTTCTCACGGGGGAAGTTTTGAACCTGGCAGGTTTTATTCTAGGATTTCTTTTTTCAGGGAAAAATTTCTTTTTCAGTGATAAATACCCACAAGTGGTTCCTATCTTTTACTTTCCCTTTATGCACAGAAGCCCACCCCACAGAAAAAGTGACCTCAAGTTTAGACAGTACATTTTAAACAGATGTAGCTGGTCAATATATCTATGCATAAGATGTTAACTCCCTTTTGTAGTCCCAAAGTGGTCATTTTCCTGCTATATGCAGGCTAAATGTTATACACTACCATATATGCTGACATGGCAAACTGGCATGGTCAAATTTTATTTCTAACTATTTAAAGCGCTCATATATATTAAGCAAACATCCATTCATTATTTATTCAGAGCCTACTACATGTCACACACCAGAGCTATAATAACTAACAAGACATACCCAATCCCTGCTGTTATGGTGCTTGTGGTCTTGTGAGTGACTAAGTTATTACAGATGTTATAAAAGAGGAGAACAAGGTACAATGTCAGTACACTATGGGGGGGTATATATGAGGAAGGGGGTGTTAGTGAAGGGTTCCCTGAGAAGTAAGATTTAAGTCAAGACCAGAAGGATGAGTGTAAACAAACCAGGTGGGAAAAAGGTGGTGAGAACATCACCGCACGCAAAGGGACACCGGTGTGAAGGGCCCGACAGGAGGGAGGGTGGTGAGGATGGAAAGACACGTAGCAGCAGATCACGAAGGGCTTTGTGGACCACGGTAAAGAGCAATAAGAAGTTATTAGAGCATTTTAAGAATTATTTGACTTGTATTTGAGGAAGGAGTCTGAGTACTGTAGGGAGAAGGGGCAGAATAGAGTCAAGAGTGAATAAAGCATGCGGCCCAGCTAGGAGGCTACTGAGTGAATGGAAATGGAGATGATGGGGATCTGGTTTAAGGGGGCAGCAATGGAGACGGAGAAGAGCTGATGGCTTTGAAAAATACTCAGAGGGTGGATGGGGTAAGAATGGGTAACAGACCAGATCTGAGTATCTAAGGGAAAGGGATCACTAAGGACGACTCCCAGGTTTCTGGCCGAAGCCCTGCTAGAGCTATCTACTAAGAATAAGAAACAGGGGCGCCTGGGTGGCTCAGTCATTAAGCATCTGCCTTCGGCTCAGGTCATGATCCCAGGGTCCTGGGATCGAGCCCCACATCCAGCTCCTGGCTCAGCGGGGAGCCTGATTCTCCCTCTGCCTCTCCCCCTGCTCGTGCTCTTTCTCTCATTATCTCTGTGTCTTGAATGAATAAATAAAATCTTAAAAAAAAATTTTTTTTAAATAAAAAAGAAACAAAAACCACACAGAACAATGATTTTTTGGAAGGAGAGTGGACAAGAAAATTATGAGTTTGGTTTTCCTGAGCTTGAGGTGTCTCACAGGTATTGAGGCAGGGAGGCCAGGTAGGTAACCGGACAGATGGGTTGAGGAATTTGAAGAAAAATCTGACTTGGAGATTCGAATTTGAGAGCTGTCAATATATTGGTGGTGACAGACGTTCTGGGAGTACATCAGTCTGACTAAGAGGGATTCTAAGAAAAGAAGGCTGAGAGGTAAATCTTGGGGAACTCCAACACTTAAAGGGTAGAAAGGAGCCAGCAAAAGAGAATGAGCTTTCAGGGAGGAAAAAGTTATCAGAGGGGCAGCCTTGCTCAGCTGGTGTCTTGGTGGGTGTTTGTAAACATGGATATGCTCTGGCTCGCTTTTTAAGTACACAATGTTAGTGATAAACCACAGGTGTTTCTATAAAGAGGGATCCAGTCTTCCACTCTAAGTAAGTCACACACTTCAGGAGAGCTTACAGAGTGCGGGAGAAGGCACTAAGAAGGCAAGGCACATTCGCTGTTTCAGTACAATGGGCTGTGCCCACCTGTGGCCTGTGGTCAGCAATGGTCATCCTCGGAACCACCAAGCCTAAAAAGGCCGAGTCTTCTAATAGCTGCTGACAAAGAAGGGCATCCCTGAAGTCAGCGGAGGCCCAACGGGTTCGCTGGAACACAAAGGCCATGAAGGAGGGAGAGGTTTAAGATACTCACTCAATGTTTTTTGAAGAAACTGCAAGCCAGGTACTCACGATGGCAGTCAGCTCTACCCAGCGGAGTTTGAGGCACTCGTCTGGGCTGGGCCATCCCAGACTCTGGTAGTCACGCTTTTTTCCTAGAAGGAAAGTATGTCATCAATGGACATAACTGCAAAGGAAGAGAACCCACAGTGTCCTAGGTGCTGGTGATTACTTCACCCAGGCTGGTGTGTTTGGAGGTTCCAGTCATTCTTCTAGTCTTTAGGATTTTTATCATCTAGAGAATTAAATTCTTGTCATTCACAGCAAAGGCAGTAAGATTATCTGAGTAAAGTCTTAGACTCAAAGACAGATGATGAAGTAAAAATAAATGAGTCCATTGGATTTAAGACTGATCAACATAAGATAAGAGCTAAGATATTCTTCAATGTTAACATCTTACCAAATTTCATTTTTACCCCTCTCCATTTTGATTTTATAAAGATAACTCCAACTTAGGAAAAGCATTTATGGCTAAAGCAAGGTTTCTCATCCTGGCAGTACTGATGTCGTGGGCTGGAACATGCTTTGTCGTGGGGGCTGTCCTGTGCATTGGAGGATGTTTAGCAACATTCCTGGCTTCTACCATAGAACCAGTAGCACCCTCCCCCAGATGTGATAACCAGAGTGTGCCCTGGGAAGACAAAATCACTTCTGGTAGAGAACCACTGTTGTAGAGAAAAGCAGCAGATGGGGAATAATGGTGATAACGAAAGGTTATCATTTATGTCCAGAGCACTTACTGTGTGTTCAGGTCCTGTGCTAAGTGCTTTACATCCACAGACTCATTTCTCAGATGGAAAAAAATCTCTCTTCTCAGAGAGATCAAGTGACTTGCCCAAGGTCACCTGGCTAGTATATGGCAGAGCCAGGATCCAGATCCAGATCTGAGTCTAACAAGTATGCTTCTAATCACCATGCTATTTAAAGCTATATTGGGCTTTTAGCGCTCTGTTAATGGACACACTTCACAGTACTACCTTTTGTGTGTAGGCCCTTCACTTAGATTGAGCCCCCAAGAAAAAAACAGAACTAAATCTTGTCTGGGAAGGGGTCTTCTGGAGGACTTAGAATAGAATGAGTGGGCAGGAAGGAGAACTTTTGTTCTGTGTGACTTTTTTATAATGTAGGAATTTACCAATAACTGAAAACTGAAGTATAAGCAGGGCTTTAGATTTAAATAAAATAGAAAAGAACAGTTTGGAAGAGTTTCAAATAAACCCTGCCTATTTTTTATTTTATTATTTTACTTTTTAAGGTTTTATTTATTTATTTGACAGAGAGAGACACAGCGAGAGAGGAAACACAAGTAGGGGGAGTGGGAGAGGGAGAAGCAGGCTCCCCGCCGAGCAGGGAGCCCGATGCGGGGCTCGATCCCAGGATCCTGGGATCATGACCTAAGCCGAAGGTAGACACTTAACGACTGAGCCACCCAGGCACCCCAAATAAACCCTGTTTAAATGAATAACTGAAAGAATTAAATCGTAAGTTTAACAATAAAGCTTATTTTTCTATTATGTTTAAAGAAATTCACTTGAACATTTATTGAGCATCTATCATAAGGGCCTGGGAACTGTGTTGAGACACTAGGGATACAGAGGGGAATAATACAGAAGGGGTCTGCCCTTGAGTTCACAGTCTAGTGAGGAAGGTAATCATAAATCCTAGGATACAACAGGATGAGTGCCAGAGTGAAAGTATAGGACAACTGCATGGAGGTGAGAGCAACCAATTCTGCCTGAAGGTACTAAGGAAGGGAAGGCACGTAGAGTCTGAAGTTTAAGGATGAGTGATCTTTTAGCTCTGCTGAGGTGGCAGGGGGGCATTCCAAGCAGAGGGAACAGCATGTGCAAAGGCAAGGGGTAAAATAAAAGCACGGCTGGTTCAGAAAAATAACAGCATGAAGGCTAGAGACAGGCTGGGTGCTTGTACACCACACGAGGAAGTTTGGACTTCATGCTGTAGGCCATGGGGAGCCTCTGAGCCCACATCTCCCCATCTTGTTCACACAGAAATATCCTAAGAGATTCTGTTAAATGCTTTGCTGAAATCTAGTTACATTGTGTTTATGGCACTTCTCTGGTCTTCCAGTCTGGTAGCCCTCACCAAAAAAGGAAATGAAATTAGTTATGCATTATTAGTTTTACTAATTCTTAGTAAATCTACAGTGGTCCTTATTGATCTCCACTCTTCCCCATTGGCTTACAATCTATCTGTTTTATAATTTGCTTTAGAACTTTGTCAGGATTTATCATGAAGCTTATCTCTTGGTAGCGAAGAGAATCCAGATTTATTTGAAAACCAGGATACTGAACCTCTCTGGCCACCTGTCATTTCTTCCAAGCCTTAGAATTTTTCATATAGTGACAGTAAGTAGTTCCCTGATGTCATCTACAAGTACATTCAGTGCCCTCTGTGGGCCCACCCACTTGAATCCACTTAAAACCACTTAAGTGCTTTTCTAGAATCTCAAACCATACCAAGCTTTAAATTTCACTTTTACAAGAAATTTTTAGTTTTTTGTTTGTAAAAGTAATATAGACTTATTATAAATTATTTAGAAAATGGAAAAGCATATAGAAGAAAATAAAAAATCACACATATCCCTATCAGCGCCTAGAGATGACCACTTACATTTCGGTATATTCTCTTCTATACTTGTTTCTATGTACTTGTTTATTTTAGCTTCTTTCATCAAATCTAAGCAGTCATAAGCTGTAACGTGTACATTATTTTATATGGTGTAAGAAAGAAAAATACTGCCAATTATTGTGTAAAATATCATCATGTGTAAGATGTATCTCAATTGTAGAGATACGGAAATGTGAACAAGTGTAATCATAATACAGTATATTTACTATTTTACAAAAACTGAAGTATTCTACCTGCTATTTTATAAACTGCTTTTGTTCACTCACTAAATTATAAGCGTCTTGGCAGTACAGTACATAGCATGGACATTATGTAATTTATTTAGGCAATTACCAACATTTAGGCGGTTTAAAATTTTTTATTATGATAAGCGACCCCATGATCAATCTTTGCACTTCTGTCTTTGGCACCTATAAGATGATTTACCTAGGGTAAATTATTGGAAGTAAAATTGTTGGTATATTTTTAAATTTTCTGCTATATATGGTCAGATGATCCCAAAACTCATCTCATTAACTCTGTGTATTGCACATTTAAAGACAGTTTGAGAAGCAAAAATGGCATGTTGCTGTCTGTGTTTGCCTATCTTTGATTGCTAGGGAGGCTGAACATTTTGTCACATGTTCAGTGGCCAATTGTACGTGTGTATTTGACGAACGGTCTCTGTACTTGCACATATCCTACTGAAATGCTGTATTTTTCATACTGATTTGTAGGTGTTCTTATTTTTTTTTTAAAGATTTTATTTAGTCGAGAGAGAGAGAAAAAGAGCGTGCTAGTGGGAGGGGAGGGGCAGAGGGAGAGGGAGAAGCAGACTCCCTGCCGATCGGGAAGCCCAAGGTGGGGCTTGATTCCAGGACCCTGAGATCATGACCTGAGCCGAAGTCAGGCACTCAACTGACTAAGCCACCCAGGTGTCCCTGTAGGTGTTCTTTAAAAGATACTGATAATCTGTGCTTATCACATAGTCTGTAGAAATATAAATATTCTTCAAAAATACTTCGTTTCAATCCTTTGCCTTTCTATTTTATGGTGTTTTCTGGTGCCAGAGTTTTTCTTTTTCTCTCTGCCTTAGAAAGTCCTTTTCCACCTAGAAAGTATATAAATATTCATCTAAATTTTCTACTTCTATGATTTTATTACATTTACTATTTAATGAAATTTTCATTTCCATAATGATATTTTACATTTTGAATACCCTTTTCCTTACTACAGAAGACAGACCTAGCAGAGGAAGTGTTGCTTTCTTTCTGGAACCTGTTAACACACGATGTCACCCTTAAACAGTAAAGCTACTGCATGCTGTCAAATCCGGTCATGACAAAATGTCCTTTTTGGTGCCCTTTGTATTTTTCACAAGTAACACTTCACTCCGGGATTTAACCAAACTGACCCCATTTTTTATATTTTATTATGTGCACCCTGCTTTCAGCTTTGGTAAGTACAACAAATTAAACAAGACATGTTTTCATGAATTTACCTTGAATTTTTGAAGTCTAAGATAGTGAAAATATCCTTTAAAAAAGAAGATTTTTTAAAAAGAAATTTGATCACCACTACTTCATTGCTAGAAAAAAAAGTCAACTGGGCCCTGAACCTGGAGTCCCAAGATGCACTCCAGGACAACTATGAACCCTAAAAGTACATGACATATTCTGATGTATATGCCTTTTTCCTGGGAGTCGTTCTAAAGCATTTATCCAATACTTAAAGAGATCTCTGACACATAAAATATTAAATGTTAATATTTATTGAGTCCTATGTGGCTAGTTCATTTAAAGCATTTTACATGTATAACTCCTATAGTCCTCACAACCACCCAATAAGATAGATATAATCATATTAAACTAGACTATCAAGAACCAATAGGATATTTAAGCTCAAGATGATAGGAATATAAGCCCAGGGGCGCCTGGGTGGCTCAGTCATTAAGTGTCTGCCTTCAGCTCAGGTCATGATCCCAGGATCCTGGGATTGAGCCCTGCATCGGGCTCCCTGCTCAGCAGGAAGCCTGCTTCTCCCTCTGCTGCTCCCCCTGCTTGTGTTCCCTCTCTCGCTATGTCTCTCTCTGGACTTGCAGGGGATACGAGTGCTGAAGAAGGGTCCCTAGGATGGAGTGGCCAGAAGCTCTTGCTACGGAGACTGCAGAAGTGAAGATGATGAAGCCACAGAATGGGTGAGTTTGCCAAGTCAAGTCTCTCTCTGGACTTGCAGGGGATACTAGTGCTGAAGAAGGGTCTTTTTTTGGGAAAAAATAAATAAATAAAATCCTAAAAAATAAATAAATAAAATAAAAGCAGCTGTCCTTATTAAAAAAAAGAATATAAGCCTGACAGGCAATGGTAAAAAAGTCAAGTAATGTCACAACAAACTTTTTATACCAATGACTGTTTCCTCGTTCACTTAGTCCCATTACCTTCTCATCTGATCTCCTTCAAGTCACAAACATATCCTTAGTGAGAAATAAGACTGTGAAATCTGAAAAAAGAAACTGGCATATTAAATATTCAAATTTACCTTGTGGCCCAGGAGATGCCACCTTTGGGCCAGTGATCTCCAGGTTCGCTTGGTAACGCTGTACATTTTCTGCTTGATTCTGTTCTACCTTTTTCCCAGGAGTTTTCTTATGATCTCCTTTGGGTTTCTTGACACGTTTGACCTGGAATGTGATCTGGAAAATGGAGACATGTTGGGGACATATTAAACCAATTATCAAATCTGTAAAGGCTATGGATATTGGTGGCTTTAAGAGTAACCCGTCCTCGGGGCGCCTGGGTGGCTGAACTGGTTAAGCTTCCGACAGGATCTCAGGGTTATGAGATCAAGCTCTGTATCAGGCTTCACACTGAGTGAGGAACCTGCTTAAGATTCTCTCTCTCCCTCTGTCCCTCCCCACCCCACCCCCCTCTTGCACTCTCCTTCTTAAAAGAAAAAAGAGTAACCAGTCCTGTGCTAGAGCTTAGAGCTGATTCTCTCCTTCCATTTAATTTTTACAGATCTCAGCGAAAAATGTTTAGTGAAATAAACAAAATAACCTAGCCTTGAAGGGTGTATACAGGAAAATGAAAATGAAGATGTCTGAACTGGGCAGCTGCAGGCATGCAGGCTTGGAATGCAGCTCAACAGTCTTCTGCTTCTCCTGCCTCCTGGAAGAGGTAGCAATACAGACAGAAGTAAAGGGAAATGCTTCCTGCAGAACAAGGCCCACATGAAGACTGACCGGAGGGCGGAGTAAAGTGGTGCCACACCCCCAAGAGAAACATCACACTTTGCACCCCCACCAAGACCTGGGCTACAGTTTGGTATGAACTGACTTGGCAAACTCTCACCCATTCTGTGGCTTCATCATCTTCACTTCTGCAGTCTCCGTAGCAAGAGCTTCTGGCCACTCCGTCCTGGGGACCCTTCTTCAGCACTCGTATCCCCTGCAAGTCCAGACGCCGCCCTTTCATCTCCAGGGCTCCCCCAAAGCCTTCCAGGGGCCATGCCTGTTGAAATTCGTCCACCAAAGCCAGTATCTCTTCAGACATTTTTGTTTCATCTGAATTCTCCATCTCATCAGAACCATTGCTCTCCTCAACCACTGTACCTGAAATTAGAGTGCCCACATGTCATTAAAAATTACGTAGTACTGTGCTCGCTTCAGCAGCACATATCCTAAAAATTACGTAGTACTCACTCCAGTACTTGAGACTCCAACCTTGCTGTTTGAGCAGCTTTGGCTCTGCTTAGAGGAGATTTGATAGCCCACCCATAAAAATGCCACTCATCATCCTCAAAATGCACAACAAAACATTCTCTTTGCTGTGTAGCTTTGTCAAAAGCTTGGATGAGGACAACAGTAGCAGCGAGGTGGCAAGCCGGCACTGAGTATATCACTAGTGAGCAGGGGGATGGCTATTTTATAAATGTACTTTTTTTGGGAAAAAAAAAAAAAAGGCCCACTTGCTTTAGATATAAGACACAAATGGCAAAGATGAAATTTATTATGATGTTATTTATTGAATATGTGGGATTCTTGAAGCTTTCTTCAAATAGCATATGACATATCATAGCTGCATGTCCAGGCCATACAGTCTGTTTTACCTGAACGATGATTTGTTTAATGGGAAGTTATCCTAATTCTACATTCAGGCTCCTATTTTCACTAATGGGTAGTATAAGAAATAGTGATGGAGCAGTGTAATGTTTTCCTAAAATGGTTATCAAGACATTATTTGTTATGTTGCTCAAGTTTCTTATGTAAAGACTTCCATGGATGCTTCCCAGTGCAATGGCCTAGAAAAATTCTTTCTCCTGAGAAGTCAGTGTTTCCATTGTTATACATTAAAGGTTACACATTCCTACAGGTTCCCCTCTATGCCTAGATAACTAGAACATTTAGGGCAAAAATTTCTGAGTTTCTTAATAGAATGCTTTCCTTTCTTAAAAAAAAAAACAACTTTATTACTTAAACTTTTGCTATTTTGAATTAATGGCTGAATCTTATATTGTGTGTTCCATGTAAGTCATCTGCAATCTTTTCTGGAAGTAGGGTACAAAAACAAATAAAATAGAATACCTGCTTTTGTAATATGCATCCACTGGACAACCTGAGAGCTCGGGGTTGATTGCTCAGAAAATGCCAGTCTACATTATCCTGGTTAAGCTATCCCAATAACCTTCAGTTGGTAATTCTGGCTCGTTCAGTGATTTAGAACATGGTATTACTAAGGCCAAGGTCAGGAATCTCATTTCCGTATTGACCAGACCTATAACCATAGTGAGTAACCCACTTTAGAAAAGCAGAGTATTAGTCTGAGGAGGCGTGGGGTGAGAAAGATGGCTGACCATCAAGGCTTAAAGCAACATAAAGCTTTGAGCCCTACTCATAGAGTGTCACTCTTGGCTCTGGTGGCATCTCTATCTTCCATCCCACTTTCTATTCCAGAAAGTGGGAAGGTCTGTTGTCAGGCTGGGAGTACCATTAGAAATCTGCTATTCCTTCTTGAAAAAGCTAGAAGGCTCCTCCATTTGTTAACAAGTGACTTTGAAATGTACCGTTGTCCTTTCAAGTAGGTTTCTTTTAGGTTTTTTGAATGAATCGGCTGGTTTTTCTTGATTATTATCATTATCATTATTATTAATGAAGTTCTGAGACAAGCATAAGGTAAAACGGGTTTGCAAAGGCATTTTCTTTAGGATATTCGGATAAAAATGGTTGGTTATTGCCCAAATTATGTGGCAAATAGTATAAATGTAGGGTTGACAAAGAGTTCTAATTTTCAGTTTCTATCTTACTACTACTATATCCTGAATGTCCAACATTGTACCTGACACTTCAGAGGCATGGTTGTAGAATGAGTTAATGGAACTCGGGAATAATTTGGTTTGTGAGGTTCTTGAGGATCTGCTGCTCCTACCTTTGCCTCGTCCTGCTGACGATTCAAGACTTTATAAACTCTAAGGTTTACCTTGTCATGTGTTAAAGGCAGGCATCATGTCTTTAACATAGTGTCTGGCATACTATATGATTTACAAATTTCTCAGTAGCTAACTCAGGAAAACACCTGGACAGGGTTGCTATGGGGACCCCAAAAAGCAACTTAATTAGAACAACTGCCTGCCGTCTGACTTGTAGCAACAGAGTTCTAAGTATTCCTCATGTTATTTTAGCCTCCTCTCCTTCCTTCTCCTATGGCCACCATGGGCTTCCCTGCACCTAGTCTTGAGACAGGAAAGGGTTTTTGATAGATTTGGCTGCAGCCAAGAGTATGGGCTTAAAGAAAAGTGGCTTTTGGCCAAAGGTAGACTGCAGGTAACTAATTCCCCAGTGTATAGTTAGAGCTGCATATGGATGCTGTGTTTGGAAGTCTTATTTCCATTCAGTAACTACTACTATTTAGAAATCATTCTAAATAAAGTTGTTCAGTTGCAAAGAATTCTGCAAGCCAGTTCCAAAGGGTAATGCTCCCCTACGCCCAGACCATACAGTAATGTATATATATCATTACTGAAAAGTTCTTAGAGAAAGGGCCTTTCATTGATGGAAACTGGTATTCCAATCAAGACAGACTGTGGAACTTGCTGCAGGCTTTTGCTGCCGGCAGCCACTAGTCCCTTCAAAGGCTGTAGGGGTTGCAGTAGTAGCAATTCCTAAAGAACAACACTACATAGGTAAGGAATGGGGAGATCATAAATGAGCTATGAGTTAGAAACAATAAGCCAATCTTTATTTATTTAGGACCTACTATGTGCCTATCTCCATGCTCTGAGCCATATAGGTGGGAACAAAAAGAATCTGACTCTGAGGAATTAAATACAGTTCAACAACATGGGGGTTAGGGGTGCTGACCCCCACACAGTTAAAAATCCACGTATAGCTTTTGTTTCTCCAAAAACTTAGCTACTAATAGCCCACTGTTGACCAGAAGCCTTACCGATAATATAAACAGTCGATTAACACATATTTTATATGCTATAGGTATTGTATACTATATTTTTATAATAAAGCAAGCTAAAAAATGTTCCTAAGAACATAATAAGAGAAGATAAAGTACTATATGGTATTTATAAAAAAAAAATCTGCATATAAGTGGATGTGTGCAGTTCAAACCTGTATTGTTCAAGGATCAACTGTATAATCAAGTTGGAGACACAAAACTGTATACATTAAACAATCAGAGAACAATTACATTTAAATACTTTTTTTCTAGAGGAAAAGCATAATTGAGTGTGGTCACAACATGCTTCCTAGAGGAAGGCAGACTACTGAGGCAGGATTTAGACAGGCAGGCAGAGGGCCAGGGAGGGCACTCCCGAGAGGGAGGAGCTTGATCGTAAATACTCAAACCCATATGTACACACACTGATGCAGGCATAAGGAAGGCAATACGTGAAGGCACTACTAATTTCCCACGAACTAGGACAAAGAATGTATATAGATGGTATCAGCAAACAAGATACTTAGGGAAGGTGGGTGACATTGAGGATGTCTGGGAAAGTTGGGAGGAAGATTCATGTTCAAGGGAGCCTCCTGTTTGCTAAGCAGAAGAATAACAAGACGAGAGCCATAATGTGGCATATAAAGGCCAGAGTGGTAAATCAGCTGGCATACTCGGGGGTGGAGAAGGAAGACAGAGGACAGAGACCAGTTAGAAAGGTATTTCAACAATCTCTATATAAAGTTGTTTAAAGAGAAGCTGGCTTAGGGAGAGGACTATAAAAGGGGAATTTTGAAAAGGGGGGAGAAAAAGGTACATGAAGAAATTTCAGTGGAGAAAAATAGAACTTGGTGGTTAAATGGATACAATGACAAAGAATAGGGTAAGTTCAAAGATAATTTCAAGATTTCGAAGCCTAATGTGAAACAGGGACCTTTTTACGATATGGAGTTTTAGAATCTGTGAAAATGAAAACAGTGTTATCTACAAAGACTATGGAATTAGGAGAGGGCAAAAGGACTTATCATGTTGGGATTTCAGACACTTATTAATTCATTTAAGCATTTGTTGTCTGTGTCCAAAAATGTGCTGAGGGCTTGTAATAGTCCAGGTTAGAATGGACAGAGGGACATATCTCCAGACACTGTCTAATTCTGGAAATACAGAATTCAGGTTTGGAAAGAGGTCTGGACTATAGCAGGATCACAGAAGGTTTTAGATTATACTTGAAGCAAGAAGAAAAAGTAAAATATTAGGATTGCTGCTTGTGGGACCAATGGTATAATATAAACTAAAAACAGAGAAACTGAGATCCCATATCTCTATTATTTTATCTTCTTTAACATGTACCATTTTCACACTGGAAAAAGGAGAATAAATATTATGAAGTAAGGAGACTGTGAGCACCCACAGTGAGGCTTAGATGAGTTCGGGTTTTTTCACTTGGATGAATACTATCTCAGGATACTAGGAAAGCTTAGTTGAGTTTGAGCCATGTCAGATAATCTGTCAAGAATCACAGGGACTAGGAGAAGTGTTGAGAGACGGAGAGAGGTATATGTTGTCCTCAAAAAGAAAAAAAAAAAAAGTAGAAGAAGAAGAAGGGGAGGAGGAAGAAGAAGAAAAAGAAGTCCAACATAATCTTGTAATGTTCCAGACACATCTAGAGATTCATCGGTAAGTCTGGCACCGCAGTTTAAGAGATTTTCAAAGCAGAGCACATTGATAGAAACATGACTTGGTGAACGTGCCCAAAATCATATTAAATGAAGGACTGAAGATACCAAAGTGACCCCATGGAAGGAACAGTAGCTGACACAGTACACACGAAAAAAATCAGGCTTGAAAAATATTTACTAGAAAGATTTTTTCTTCTTTTTTAAAACATTTTCTTTATTTCATTTTTTGACAGAGAGAGTGCAAGTGTGCGGTGAGGGGCAGAGGGAGAGGGAGAGAGTTCCAAGCAGACTCCATGCTGACTGGGGAGCCCGACATGGGGCTCAATTTCACGACGCTGAGATTGGGGCCCTGAGATCACGACCTGAGCAGAAATCAAGAGTCAGACGCTTAACCGACTGAGCCACCCAGGCGCCTGGAAAGATTTTTTTTTTTTTTAATTCTAGAAAGATTACTTCGAGATTGGTGAAGGTACTAAGAGCCCTAACTG